GCCTCAGCCTCCGGAGTAGCTGGGACTACAGGCGCCCGCCACCTCGCCCGGCTAGTTTTTTGTATTTTTAGTAGAGACGGGGTTTCACCGTGTTCGCCAGGATGGTCTCGATCTCCTGACCTCGTGATCCGCCCGTCTCGGCCTCCCAAAGTGCTGGGATTACAGGCTTGAGCCACCGCGCCCGGCCCATTCAATGCTTATTAACTGACAGAATGACTTGGCTCTTTCTTCTGTCCCTCCCTGGCCACTTGGCCTAGACCAAGCCCCTTGACTTCAGTGCCTTGGTGTCTGCTCTCTCTCCATGTGTGCCCTTCCTTTAGGCATCCCCTGGGATGAAGAAAGTTCTGCATCAGTCACTGGTCAGACCCAACCCAGGATGGGCTGCCTCAGAGGTGGGGGAGGCTTCCTTAGTCCTCCATCAGTGCCCTTACTATTCTCAGTGGGTGTCTAACGATCTTTTTCTTTTCTTTTCTTTTGAGACGGAGTCTTGCTCTGTTGTCCAGGCTGGAGTGCAGTGGCATGATCTCAGCTCACTGCATGCTCTGCCTCCTGGATTCATGCCATTCTCCTGCCTCAGCCTCCCAAGAAGCTGGGACTACAGGTGCCCACCACCACGCCCGGCTAATTTTTTTTTTTTTTTTTTTTTTTTGTATTTTTAGTAGAGACGGGGTTTCACTGTGTTAGCCAGGATGGTCTCGATCTCCTGACTTCATGAGCCACCCGCCTCAGCCTCCCAAAGTGCTGGGATTACAGGTGTGAGTCATCACGCTCAATCTCTTTTTTTTTTTTTTGAAACACGGTCTCTTTCTGTCACCCAGACTGGAGAACAGTCTGGATACAGTCATAGATCACTGCAGCCTCAAACCCCTGGGCTCAAGTGATCCTCCTGCCTCAGTCTCCTGAGCTGGGACCACAGGCACACACCACCATGCCTTACTGATGTAATTTTTTGTAGAGAAAGAATATTGCTATGTTGCCCAGGCTGGTCTCGAACTCCTAAACTGAAGGAAGCCTCCCACCTTGGCCTCCCAAAGCACTGGGATTATAGGCAAGAGCCACCACTCCCAGCCTAACGATCTCTCTCGAATTGCAAAACCCCTAGCTTGGACTGGCTGAGGTCAAGATGAGCCCTTCCACAAGGAGGCGGTGTCAGTGCAGGACAGCAGCTTCGGCAGTGCCTAAGGACCTTTATTGACCACATGACCCCCTCAGGGGTGCTAGTGGGGTATCCTTCGGCGTCCTGGCAGCAGCCGCCGCCACAGTTCTTGGCTGAGCAGCTCCTGTTCCCTGCGGACACCCTGAAGCACGCTCCGGTTTTCCTGGGCCCTCCGGATCAGGTAGGGGATTACCTCCTCCAAGGAGCCATAGGGGATGGACTTATACACTACATAGCCGGCCTGCCCTGCAGGGAGAGTGGGTTTTGTTTTTTCATTTTTGGTGTTTTTCTGAGACAGAGTCTCACTCTGTTGCCCAGACTGGAGTGCAGTGGCATAGTCTCCGCTCACTGCAACCTCCGCCTCCCAGGTTCAAGTGATTCTCCTCCTGCTTCAGCCTCCTGAGTGGCTGGGATTATAGGCGTGTGCCACTATGCCCGGCTAATTTTTGTATTTTTAGTAGAGACGGGGGTCTTACCATGTTTGCTAGGCTGGTCTCGAACTCCTGACCTCAGGTGATCCGCCTGCCTCAGTCTCCCAGAGTGCTGGGATTACAGGCGTGAGCCACTGCACCCGGCCTATTTATTTTGTTTTTGAGACAGAATCTGGCTCTGTTGCCCAGGCTGGAGTGCAGTGGCATGATCTCAGCTCACTACAACCTCCGCCTCCTGGGTTCAAGTGATTATCCTGCCTCAGCCTCCCCAGTAGCTGGGTTACAGGCATGCACCACCATGCCCAGCCAATTTTTGTAGTTTTAGTAGAGACGGAGTTTCACCATGTTGGCCAGGCTGGTCTTGAACTCCTGACCTCAAGTGATCCACCCACGTTGGCCTCCCAAAGTACTGGGGTTGCAGGTGTGAGCCACTACGCCCTGCCCCAGCTAATCGTTCTTATTATTTGTAGAAGTGGAATCTCACTATATTGCCCTGGCTGGCCTCAAACTCCTGGGCTCAAGTGATCCTCATGCCTTGGCCTCCCAAAATGCTGGGATTACAGGCGTGATCCACTGCATCCAGCCTGCATTTTAAAAAATCTTAGTTATTACAATGGTGCCAAGAGAGTAAGGAATTTACTAATCCAAGAATCAAGAGAAAGTGAGGCCAGGTATGGTGGCTCATGCCTGTAATCCCAGCACTTTGGGAGGCTGAGGTGGGCAGATCACCTGAGTTCAAGAGTTCGAGACCAGCCTGGCCAACACGGTGAAACCCGTCTCTACTAAAAATACAAAAATTAGCCAGGCATGGTGACAGCTGCCTGTAGTCCCAACTACTTAGGAGGCTGAGGCAGGAGAAATTGCTTGAACCCAGGAGGCAAAGGTTGCAGTGAGCCAAGATGGCACCACTGGACTCCAGCCTGAGTAACGGAGCAAGACTCTGTCTCTAAATAAATAAATAAATAAATAAATAAATAAATAAATAAATAAGAAAATGAGAACCCAGAGAGAGAAGGGACACACAGTAAGCCACTTCTGCCCTGAAAGCAAAACCGAGCTGCTATTTGATGACTTCACAGAGTTTTGGGAGGACATTGAGTCAGACTTCAAGCCTGACTGAGGTGAGAGTTATAAGGGAGAACTTCCCCAAGTTAAACTAGAACCCAAAAAGCTACACCCTCAGAGTAAGAGTTAATAAACAGTCAACACTGCAACCTTCCCCCAGTCCCAGGAAATGGTCTTGGTCGTAAACAGATCAAGGAACAAAACAGAAAAATCCACCTCTGCGAAGTTGGGGCTATGGGTTAACCCCCTTATGTATTTGTAGTTCAAATTTGCACCAGTGAGGTGTCTCAAGAAACCTCAAGCTGTGAATTTAGGATAAAGTGATTTTGTTCTGCTTAGCACCTGGCAGAAGGAAACGTTAATTATCTGGTGTGGGCCCTGAGGAGCAAAAGGAGTAAAGATAACAAAACACACAAGAAATAATACACCATGATCAAGAACCAGCAGAAATGACAGACGGCAGACACAGAGACACAGCCTTGGAAGGCCCACAGACACTGGAATGACAGATCTCTCTGGAAGGATCTGGAGGCTGGGCCTTGGTTGGGAATAGGAGAAGGGCTCTGGCTGGGAGGGAGTGAGGCCTGGGGCTTGGTGGGGGTGGGGGAGACATTCACATACCCAGTGCCAGAGAGACGTGGTCACACATGCCCAGAAGTTGTCCGAAACAGACAGTCCCGTCCAGAGGAATGCCCAGCTCCCACATGCTGCAGAAAAGACCACATCATCACTCCAGACCGTGGCTGCATCTAGAGCTTAGAGTCAGCCACTATGCACCCGTATGGCAGCTCCAGTAATTCAAATATTGAAGTATTTCCAAACTCAATGATACATAATAAGTCGTTTGCATTCCTTGAAGGTCCCCCAGGGACTCCCAGCCACTTCCCTGGAGCTCTCAGACCTCCTTATGCCCCAGCAAATAAGGGGCGACATCTTGTCCATCTGGGACCTATAAGGACCTACAGGTGTAGCAGGGGTTAATGTGTTTATTTGTTTTAAGAGGTAGGGTCTTGCTTTGTTATCCAGGCTGGAGTGCAGTGACTCAAGCACTGCTCACTGCAGCCTCAACCTCCTGGGCTCAAGTGATCCTTCCACCTCAGTCTCCCGAATAGCTGGGACTACAGGTGTGCACCACCACACCCAGCTTTTTTTTTTTTTTTTTTTTTTTTTTAATTTGGTATAGAAATGGGATCTTTCTGTGTTTCCCAGGCTAGTCTGAAACAGTCCTCTGCCTCAGCCTCCCAAAGTGCTGGGATTATAGGCATGTGCCAACCATGCCCGGCTATAAATTTTTGTTGTTGTTGTTGTTGTTTGTTTGTTTTTGAGACAGTCTGGCTGTCACCCAGGTTGGAGTGCAGGTGCACGATCTCGGCTCACTGCAAGGTCCACCTCCCAGGTTCACGCCATTCTCCTGCCTCAGCCTCCCGAGCAGCTGGGACTACAGGCGTCCGCCACCACACCTGGCTCACTTTTTTGTATTTTTTAGTAGAGACGGGGTTTCACTGTGTTAGCCAGGATGGTCTCGATCTCCTGACCTCGTGATCCGCCCGTCTTGGCCTCCCAAAGTGCTGGGATTACAGGCGTGAGCCACTGCGCCCGGCTTTAAATATTTTTAAAATTCTCCCCAGAACACCTCTGTCCATCTCTGGCATTCGAGCAAGGGAGAGGAAGCGAGGGCCCTTTTGTGGGCACCTATTTCCCGCCCATCCCTCCACCTCATACCGCTTGGTTGCCTGGCGAACAGATTCCTCATTGTGGGAAGCCACCATGAGGTGGCACATGGGGCCGTGGCGGGCCACGCGCGTCAGCATCAGTTCCAGGCAGCGGCTGTAACTGAAGGGAGATGCTCTGTTCAGCTCACCTAGTGAGCGAGGCTCAGGCCCCAGGGACTGGGGTAGGTGGGGTGCTCCTAAGCGAGGGATCTCTGGAACCAGTACCCTGTTCCATCTGCACCAGTTGTAAGGGACATCCCTTCTCTGAGCCACTTTCATCTTTTGGGTTTTTTTGGGGGGATTTTGTTTGTTTTTGAGATGGAGTCTCACTCTCTTACCCAGGCTGGAATGCAGTGGTAATCTCGGCTCACCGCAACCTCCACCTCCCAGGTTCAAGTGATTCCCCTGCCTCAGCCTCCTGAGCAGCTGGGATTACAGGTATGCACCATCACACCCAGCTAATTTTTGTATTTTTAGTAGAGACGGGGTTTCACCATGTTGGTCAGGCTGGTCTCGAACTCCTGACCTCAGGTGATCTGCCCACCTCAGCCTCCCAAAGTGCTGGGATTACAGGCGTGAGCCACCGCGCCCAGCCCCATGTTAGTCTCTTGTCACTGTGAGTTTCCGAGGAGCACTGTTGTGAGGATGGTGTGAGATAAGAGGGGTATGAAGTCTTTGGGACAGTGGCGACGGTGTCACAGGAGAGGGTCGCATCATGTGCACGAGATGACATTTCCCCAAGGTTATCACTGCTGCATTGTCAACAGAACATCACTAGCAACAGCTCAGATGTCCATAAATGGGGAACTGGCTAAGGAAACTGTGAAAAGGAAGGAGGACACTGGGTACTGATATGGAAGAGGAAAAAGACTGGCAAATGCCTTGCAAGCATGCTGCAGGCCACGGGCCACCCTATGTACTTTACATCCTCTGTGGGTCTTCCCCATCGCCCCCCAGACCTGTTTTCCACCCTTCTCTGCCCCTCAGGAAGAGACACTTTTGCCCCACATCCCCCATGGAGTCATGTGCAGGAAGGAGTGTGAGTGTCTCACCTCAGCCCCTCCCTGCTCACCCTGACTGTGCTCTCTGTGTGACCACAGCTCCCTAAGGTGGCCCCTTTCCTTCAACTACAGCATAGGGGTCGAAATAGCTTCCTAGGCCAGGCGTGGTGGCTCACGCCTGTAATCCCAGCACTTTGGGAGGCCGAGACGGGCAGATCACGAGGTCAGGAGATCGAGACCATCCTGGCTAACACAGTGAAACCCCATCTCTACTAAAAATACAAAAAATTAGCCGGGTGCGGTGGTAGGCGCCTGTAGTCCCAGCTACTCAGGAGGCTCAGGCAGGAGAATGGCGTGAACCTGGGAGGCGGAGCTTGCAGTGAGTCGAGATCGCGCCACTGCACTCCAGCCTGGGCGACAGAGCGAGACTCCGTCTCAAAAAAAAAAGAAAAAAAGAAATAGCTTCCTAATAACTTCCCTGACTTTGCCTACACTTCCTTTTCGTTTTGTTGTTTTTTAGAGACTGGGTCTCACTCTGTTGCCCAGGCTGGAGTGCAGTGGCGCGATCTCACCTCACTGAATCCTCCAACTCCTGGGCTCAAGTGATCCTCCCACCTTGGCCTCCCAAACTGCTGGGATTACAGGTGTGAGGCCCTGCGCCTGGCCCCTGACACTTCTATAAACAGCCCCTTCGCCAAATTTCCTTTAGTTAAAACCCTTTGTGCGGAATTCTGTTTCCTTTGGAAAAAGCTAATCACTCATCTAATTCTCAAATCAGCTCTAGGAGGCAGTTGTTCCTATTCCCTTTTTACAGAGTAGGGAGACTGAAACTGAGAAGGGTTCCATCTCTTGTCCCCAGGTCACACAGCTAGAGGTGACCAGGCTGGGATTTGAACTCAGGCTGTCTGATGCTCCAGAGCCCAGGCTCCTTATCGGTAGGCTATTCTGCCTTTAAAATGCACAGTGGAGGCGGGACATGCTGGCTTACGCCTGTAATCCCAGCACTTGGGGAGGCCAAGGCAGGAGGGCTGCTTGAGCCTAGGAGTTTGAGACTAGCCTGGGCAACATAGGGAGACCCTGTGTCTACAAAAAAAAAAAAAAAAAAATTGTTGGACATGGTGATATGTGCTGGTGGTCTTAGCTACTTGGGAGACTGAGGTGGGAGGATGGCTTGGGCCTGGGGAGTCAAGGCTGCAGTGAGCCAAGATCGCACCACTGCACTCCAGCCTGGGAGACAGAGTGCAACCCTGTCTCAAAAATAAGTTAAAGAACAAATGAAAAATGCCAAATATACAAGGTCACATATTGTGTGATTCCATTTATATGAAATGTCTAGAATAGGCAAATCCACAGAGACAAAAAGTAGGTTAGTGGTTTCCAGGGGCTGAGGGGAGGAGGGAACAGAAAGCGACTGACTTCTCACTGGTATGAGGTTACTTTTTGGGGTGATGAAAATATTATGGAATCAAACAGTGGTGACAGTTGCGCAATTTTGGGACTATACTAAACTCTGCTGAATTATACATGTTAAAATTGTGAATTCTATGATATGTGAATTATATTTCAATTTTAAAAATAATAGAAATAATAATAATAATTATTATTATTATTATTTTGAGACAGAGTCTCACTCTGTCACCCAGGCTGGAGTTCAGTGGTGCAATCTTGGCTCACTGCAACCTTTGCCTCCCGGGTTCAAGTGATTCTCCTGCCTCAGCCTCCCAAGTAGCTGGGATTACCAGTGCAAGCCACCACACCTGGCTAATTTTTGTATTTTTAGTAGAGACAGGGTTTCACCATGTTGGCCAGGCTGGTCTCAAAACTCCTGACCTCAAGTGATCTGCCTGCCTCAGCCTCCCAAAGTGCTGGAATTACAAGCGTGAGCCACCATGCCTGGCCATAATTTTTTATTTTTAATGTTTTTACAGATGGGATCTTGCTATGTTGCTCATATTGGGCTTCAGCAATCTTCCTACCTTAGCCTCCCAAGTAGTTGGGATGACAGGCACACACCACTGTCCCTGGCTTGGTGCCAGTTAAGCCGATGGTACACAAACGTGCCCTGGAGCCCCTGCAGATCTCGGACATGAGCCTAGATTCCAAACATGGCTAGGCCACCTGCTCTGTAACGTGGGTGAGTCCCTGTGGCCCCCAGAGAAGGTACCAAGAAGTAAAGATATAAGGAGGTGAGGGATGGGGCCATGCTGCTGTCTGCAGTGGGAATGTCCCAGGTAGCGGGAACAGGAAGTGCCAAGCCTGTGGGTATCATGGAGGAGGCCAGTGTGGCTGCAGTGGAGTGAGGGAGAGGAAGAGAAAGTTAGGGAAGTGACAGGGACCACAGCATGTGGGGCTTAGAGGCCACTGCAGGCGTTTCTTTTTGGTTTTTTGTTTGTTTGTGTGTTTGTTTTGAGACAGAGTCTCACACTGTTGCCCAGGCTGAAGTGCGGTGGTGCAGTCATGGCTCGCTGTAGCCTTGAACTCCTGGCCTCAAGTGATCCTCCCACCTCAGCCTCCTAAGTAGCTGAACTACAGGCACGTGCTACCATACCCGGCTATTGTTAAAATTTTTTAGAGATGAGGTCTCCCTATGTTGCCCAGGCTGGTCTCCAACTCCTGTTCTCAAGTGAATCTCTAGCCTCAGCCTCCCAAAGCACTGGGATTGAAGGTATGAGCCACTGCACCCGACCATTAGGTGTTATTTCCTGCAGAGGCTGGCTGGCCCAGGCCTACCTCTGACTGGTGGCCTCATAGTCAGGCTGAGTGGGGTCCTTCATCCCATGAAGCTGGGCCACCGCTCTCTCCTTGTCCAGATAGGCACCTCGTACCAGCTTCACTCCAAAGGCCAGGCCGGCCCTGTGTGCGGCCTCTGCGTCCCTCCCCAGCCGCTCAAATGTGTCCTGTAGGGCACGCGGGCACGTTCTGGTAGGTCAGGGTGTGCGGACCCCAGCCTGCACCTCCCAGAACACACTGCACACCTTTAGACAGGCCTGGTAGGTGTTCCACACCCAGGGCCCGCCTTCCCCTGGGCTGTTCCAGCGCACGGCCAGGGCAGCCACCAGCAGCGAGAGCGCAGGGTTCAGTGAGGTGTACTCCGCATCCACCAGGAGCCGCACGTGCTGGGCCCGGGCATACTGAGGGTGACAGAGACGGCGGTCAGGGTCCTGGGTGTCCACAGGGGCAGTGGAGCCAGACCCCAGCAGGAGGGGTTACCTGGGCCACCCGATGCAAGCGGCTGAGGGAGGCCTGGAGGTGCTGGTTCTGCTCGTTGTTGAGGCAGGAGACCTGGAGGTTCTAGAGGGCAGCAGGGGAAGTGGAAAAAAGCTTAGAAGTTGCTAGAAATCTAAAAATGAGCAATATCAGTTAGGTACTTTTAATTGAGGGAGTTATGAGCCTAGAATCAGGGTTTGAATCCAGGCTCCACCACCTATTGTGTGACTTGGGTAAGTTATATAACCTTTCTGGGCCTCAGTTTTTGTTTGTTTTTTGAGATGGAGTATTGCTCTGCTGCTCAGGTTGGAGTGCAGTGGCATGATCTCAGCTCACTGCAACCTCCGCCTCCTGGATTCAAGTGATTCTCCTGCTTCAGCCTCCCAAGTAGCTGGGATTACAGGTGCTCGCCACCATGCCTGCCTAATATTTGTACTTTTAGTAGAGATGGGTTTTCACCATGTTGCCCAGGCTGGTCTCGAACTCCTGACCTCAAGTGATCCACCCACCTTGACCTCTGAAAGTGCTGGGATTACAGGCGTGAGCCACCGTGCTCAGCTCTCCCTGCTACTCTTTGAACATGACGGGCAACTTCCCACCTCCAGGCCTTTACCTGCTGCCATGTTTCCTTCAAGTATTTGCTCTAATGTCACTTTCTAAACATGGTTTCCCAGCTATACATTGGCAACTTCTTTTCCTGTTCCTCAGCCTTATTTTCCCCTACTTGTTACGTACTGATTTTTGTTTTGTTTTGTTGAGACAGAGTCTTGCTGTATTGCCCAGGCTGGAACGCAGTGGTGTGATCATGGCTCACTGCAGCCTCTACCTCCCCAGCTCAAGCAATCCTCCTGCTTCAGCCTCCCAAGTACCTAGGACCACAGTCACCCACCACCACGCCTGGCTAATTTTTTACTATTTGTAGAGTCAAGGTCTTCCTATGTTGCCCAGGCTGGTCTCAGACTCCTGAGCTGAAGTGATCCTCCCACCTTAGCCTTCCAAAGTGCTGGGATTCTGACTTTGGTTTTAATTATTGTCTCTTGCCCCTGACTTGCAAGGAAGTGCCTCGAGGTCAGGGATTTTGCCTTCATGCCTCCTCGGCCCCTAGCACCGTGTCTGGAACAAGATAGATGTTCAGCAAACACTTTGGGAGTGGATACTCTTGTAACATGGAAGTAACAATTATTCCGAACTCAGAGTCTTATGCAGATTCATCTGGCTGAATGTGAGCTGCTGGTGACTCCAGGGAGTCCAGCTGGGTTCAGAGAAGTTGGGAAATGGAAGAAAGAGGAACAGGTGGGGCTGAAAGCTTTATTATATCCAATAAGGTCGATACGGATGACAGGCCTAGGCTTGCTCATGGAATCTGGAGGCAGGTTGGGCTGGAAGCTGCAGCCCTCCCATGGTGGGGAGAATGGTGCCTCCTGGAGGAGGGAAAAGCTGGGGGCAGCAGCCTCGTTTCCTCTTCCCCCGACAGAGGATTGTCTCCCCCTTGACTTGGGGCATAGTCTCAGGCCCTCAGGGAGCTATTTCAGACACCCACCAAATATTTAACTCATTTAATCTTTACCACCCTCTGATGTAGCAACTGTTATTGTCCCCCATTTTCTAGATGGGGAAACTGGGGCACAGAGCAGGGAAGTCACTTGTCAAAAGTCACACAGCTAACTCAGGGCAGACATGAGGTTTGAACCTCAGCCTTTCCAGAGCCTGGGTCTTTCTCTCTTTTCCTTCTCTCCCTCCCTTCCTTCCTTCCTGCCTCCCTCCTTTCTTTCCTTTCCTTTTTTTTTTTTTTTTTTTGAGACAGGGTCTCACTCTGTCTCCCAGGCAAGAGTGCAGTAGTGTAAGTTCAAGTGATTCTCCTGCCTCAGCCTCCTGAGTAACTGGGACTATAGGCAAGTGCCACCACTTTTGGATAATTTTTGTATTTTTAGTAGAGATGGGGTTTTACCACGTTGTCCAGGCTGGTCTCAAACTCCTGACCTCAAGTGATCCACCCCCACTTAGCCTCTCAAAGTGCTGGGATTACAGGCATGAGCTACGGCACCTGGCCCTCTTTCTTTCTTTTTCTTTTCTTTTTTTTTTTTTTTTTTGAGACGGGGTCTCATTCTGTCACCCAGGCTGGAGTGAAGTGGCACAATTTTTAGCTCACTGCAGCCTCAAACTTGCCAGCTAAAGCAATCCTCCCAACTTAACCTGCTGAGTAGCAAGGATTACAGGTGCCTGCCACCACATCCAGCTAATTTTAAGAATGTTTTTGTAAAGACGGGGGCTTACTGTATTACTCAGGCTGGTATTGACCTCCTGAGCTCCAGTGATCCTCCTGCCTTAGCCTCCACACCAGGTGTGCACCAGCACACAGGCTAAGTTTTTAATTTTTTATAGAAATGGGGTCTCACTATGTTGCCCAAGCAGGTCTTGAACTCCTGGGCTCAAGTAAGCCTCCAATTTCAGCCTCCCAAAATGCCAATTACAGGCATGAGGCACCGCACCCAGCCTGTTTTAATCCTTAAAACCACCGAGAAGTTGCTGTCACTCTCCCCACAGGAATAAACTAAAGCTCATGAAGAGATGAACTCCTTACTCTCCAAAGCTGAGTTTCTGAACCATGAAATCTTGTTTCTATGTGTTCTCTGACATACTTTATAAATTACAAATAAGGCCAGGTACAGTGGCTTATGCCTGTAATCCCAAAACTTTGGGAGGCCAAGGCAGGCGGATCACGAGGTCAGGAGTTCAAGACCAGCCTGGCCAACATAGTGAAACCCCATTTCTACTAAAAATACAAAATTTAGCTGGGCATGGTGGCACACACCTATAGTTCCAGCTACTCGGGACGCTGGAGCAGGAGAATCGCTTGAACCTGGGAGGTGGAGGGTGCAGTGAACCGAGATCGTACCACTGCACTCCAGCCTGGGCAACGGAGCCAGATGCCATCCCCTGCCCCTGACAAAAAAAAAAAAAAGGCCGGGCGCGGTGGCTCAAGCCTGTAATCCCAGCACTTTGGGAGGCCGAGACGGGCGGATCACGAGGTCAGGAGATCGAGACCATCCTGGCTAACACGGTGAAACCCCGTCTCTACTAAAAAATACAAAAAACTAGCCGGGTGCAGTGGCGGGCGCCTGTAGTCCCAGCTACTTGGGAGGCAGAGGCAGGAGAATGGCGTGAACCCGGGAGGCGGAGCTTGCAGTGAGCCGAGATCGCGCCACTGCACTCCAGCCTGGGCGACAGAGCAAGACTCTGTCTTAAAATAATAATAATAATAAATAGATAAATAAAAATTACAAATGAAAAATTAGAAAAAGAAACATCAGCATGTCCACTGTAGCATTGTTTGGGAGGGTGGAGACACAGAGGCCGCCCAGGGGTTCACCCCAGGAGAGGTAAACCATGCAGCAGCCAGTGGCAAGAGGATTCTTGAGGCACCAGCCTGTGCAATACAGTGCGACCCTTTCTCTACAAACAGTTTTAAAAATTAGCTGGACATGATGGCTCATTCCTGTAATCCCAGCTACTTGGGAGGCTTAGGTGGGAGGATTGCTAGAGCTCAGGAGTTCGAGGCTACAGTGAGCTGTGATCATGCCACTGCACTCCAGCCTGGGTGACAGAGAGAGACCCTGTATAAAAACAAAACCAAAACCAAAACAAAACTTTGTGTGGATCTTAATATCAGTGGAAAAAATAAGAAGTAGAGTGAGATAGCTGATAAGATGCTTTTGTGTAAATTTAAAACATTCTCTCGATTGATGGAGATGGGCAGGAGGGAACTACGCAGTGATGGAAATGTTCTAAATCTTTTTCTTTTTTTTTTTTTGAGACAGAATTTTGATCTTTTTGCCCAGGTTAGAGTGCAATGGCATGATCTTGGCTCATTGCAACCTCCGCCTCCCCGGTTCAAGTGATTCTTTTGCCTCAGCCTCCCCAGTAGCTGGGATTACAGGCGCACGCCACCACACCCGGCTAATTTTGTATGTCTAGTAGAGACAGGGTTTCACGATGTTGGCCACGCTGTTCTTGAACTCCTGACCTCCAGTAATCCATCCGCCTCAGCCTCCCAAAGTGTTGCGATTACAGGCGTGAGCCACTGTTCCCGGCCATGTTCTAAATCTTGATAGGGATTTGGATTGCTCAAGTGTGTGTTTTGGTCAAGGTTCATTAAGGGGCACATTTACAATGTGTGTAGTTCATTGTTTTATCTTGAAAGAAAAAAGTACTGGGAATAATTATTGGGCTCTAATTAATGAGCCCATTATTCACATCCTGAAGCATTCAGGGGGAAAACATACTGTCTGCAATTTACTTTGAAATGCACCAAAAAATAAGATAGATGGATGGATGGATAGAGGAATAGAAGGATAGATATGATTTCAAACGAGTATAGTTAAAGGTGGCAGGTACATGGATGTGCATGTACAATTCTTTTTACTTTTCTGTATATTTGAAAATTTGTATAATAGAATATTGGGGAAAATATGCCCCCCACGAATGGTATACACCTGGCAAAACAAAATCATAGAAACAAAAAGATATGCATTATACAAGATAGGAGGCTGGGTGTGATGGTTCACACCTATAATTCCAGAACTTCAGGAGGCTGAGGCTGGGGGACTGCTTGAGGCCATGAGTTAGAGACCAGCCTGTGCAACACAGTAAGACAGAGAGAGAGAGAGAGAGAGAGAGAGGAGGGAGGAGAGAGAGAAGGAAGGAAGGAAGGAAGGAAGGAAGGAAGGAAGGAAGGAAGGAAGGAAGGAAGGAAGGAAGGGAGGGAGGGAGGGAGGGAGGGAGGGAGGGAGGGAAGAGAAAAAGAAAAAGGAAGGAGTGAGAGAGAAAGAAAGAAAAAAAGATGGAGTAGGGTTGAAATAGAATATAGAGATAAAAAGGAAATAATGATTGTATGAACAAACTAAGATCCCATTGGCCTAATCAGAACCTACACCCAGCCAGCTCACACCTGTGCGGCTGTGTTGACTGAGGACACATTGATGTACCTCCTTCTAGTTGATAAACAGCTTCTATCCCAGTCCCTCCTCTGAGAGCCTCCAGCCTCCAGGCTCCTCCCTGAGAACCCAGATGACCCTGATTCCATCCATTTCAACCATGCCTGGGAGCTACAGCTGCATTTCTGCTGGCTGTTCCAAGGCTGGAGGTGGCCGTGAGCATTTTGAACATCTGGCGTGCCATGTGGCCGCATCTGAGTCCAAGGCACACTGTCCCTGACAGTCCCGCTTGAGATCCTTACCTGCCCAGAGTCCATGGCTTCAGCCAGCCTCTCGGGGCTCAGCTCCAAGGAGGCTCCTGGCCTTCTGACCCATGAGGCTAGCTCCTTCTGAAATGGGGTGGTAGGTGGGGTGGTGAGGGGAGCCCGGTGGGCAGCCGCGCCCTCCTGGCACCCCCATCTTTGCACTCCTTACACAGAGCCGAGCGCTGGTCAGCGCCGTCACCTTCAGCTGCATGAGGCTGGCTTCAGCCAGGCTGGGGGGCTCCAGGAGGTCCCGCGACAGGTCCACACACCGCAGCATAGCGCCGAGGTTCCCCTCATACCAGGCCTCACTGCCCAGCCAGCAGGCGTCAGGTCCCGACCTGCGAAGTCCCTTCCTGCGTCCTCCCAGCCTCCCTGGGCCCTGGCTCCCTACTCACCCGCTCTTGGCAGCAGAGTCCGGCTCCTCCTCAGTGGGCACTGCCAGCAGTGGTCGGAGGCTGAGGGTCCGCAGCTGCTGCACACAGCCCCTCACCTCCTCTACTGTCTCACCAGCCACAAACTGCCCATAGACGGATGCTCGGAGAAACGCGCCTGAGAGCCGGGAGCCCAGGAGTCGCTGAGACCAGGCCTGGAGCTGGGTGAAAGACAGCGAGGGCTCAGCACCAGGCTACGGGGAGCCTCCAGGCTGGTCCTCGGGATCGCTCCTCACCGCCAGCCCGTGAGTGACGAGTGGGGGCCAAGCACACAGCCGGAGAACCAGCAAGGCCCGTGTCAGCTCTCCTGTGCCCTTGAGGTGGAAGGCGCCACCATCAAAGCTCAGGGGCTGCCAGCCCCTCGCCAGGGGACCAGCTTGGGAACAGAGCGGGTAACAGGTCCGGAGCATCCTGGGTCCCTGGCTGCCTCCACACCAGGGAAGGTGCTCTGGAGGCAGCAGGTTCACCAACTGCCCCTTGCCCAGACTGGGGGCAGTGACTGATTAACTGGGCAAAGCCTCAGGATCACAGGCTCCTTGAGGGCAATTAATTATTAACAAATGGGGACAGAGTTCAGAGTAACGGTAACGGGAGGCGAACCCCCAATAACAGCCCCCAACAATCCTCAGCACAACAGCCTGCACTTACTAGGTAATCACCACATACTGGGGAAAACAGGGGCTCTGGGGCAAGGATCCCTGGGTTCAGGACATTGGGCTTTGTGATCCAGGACGAGCTACTTAACCGCTTTTGTGGCAATTGCTTCCTCCACCTCCCAAGTAGCTGGGATTAGAGGTGCGTGTGATCACACCGAGGGTAATTTTTAATTGTTTTTTTTTGGTAGAGACGGAGTCTCACTATGTTACCCAGGCTGGTCTTGAACCCCTGGACTCAAGCAGTCCTCCCACCTCGGCCTCCCAAAGAGCTGGGATTTCAGGCATAGAGCCACGGCACCCGGCTCTCACATTATAAGTCTTTTTTTAAAGCTATAACCTATGTTCATACATTCCTGAATGTACATTTCACCAAAAAAGTTAAAAAAAATTAATCATAGTATCAGTTTCCCAGAGCTGTTGTGTGGATCCAGTTAATGGACATATACAACCTGGTACACAATCTGTGTTTAGTAAGCACTGGCTGTGGTCATTAAGTGCTGTGTGTATATAATCTCTTTGATGCTTGTCTTCATGATGAAGCATGTACCATTAATCACCCCTGGTTTGGGCATCCCCAAGGCCACGTCAGGTTCAGTCATTCTCTAGACAGACTCACAAAACTCAGAAAAGCCATGAGACTCACGGTTATGGTTTGTTACAGTGAAAGGATACAGATTAAAGTTAGCAAAGGGAAGAGGTGCAAGGAGACGCCAGGAGCAAGCTTCTAGTCATCCTCTCCCAGTGGAGTCAAGAGATCAGCGCTCAATTTTCCCAGCATGCATGGAGAATTGCAATCAGGGAAGCTGACCAGAGCCTTGATGACCAGGGTTTTTGTTGGGGTCAGTCACCTGGGCATGGCTGACTGCCTGCATGACTGACCTTGTCTCTAGCTCCTCCAGAGGTCAAGCTGATACTGCATGGCCCAAGGTCCCCAGATAAACAGAGATACTCTTTTAAAAACTTTTTTGAGACAGAGTCTCACTCTGTAACCCAGGCTGGAGTGCAGTGGCACGATTTTTGGCTCACTGCAACCTCCGCCTCCCAGGTTCCAGCAATTCTCCTACCTCAGCCTCCCAAACAAAAATACTTTTATCAAGCAGGATAATACAAAGGCTTAGAGGTTACCTCCCAGGAGCTGAGCGAGGTTAAACCTTTACTACACAACCCCCAATTCACAGATGTTAAAAGTGGAGGCTCAGCCGGGCAAGGTGGCTCACGCCTGTAATCCCAGCACCTTGGGAGGCCAAGGCAGGTGGATCACCTAAGGTCAGGAGTTCAAGACCAGCCCAGCCAACCTGCTGAAACCCTGTCTCTACTAAAAATACAAAACTTAGCTGGGTGTGGTGGCATGCGCCTATAATCCCAGCTACTCAGGAGGCTGAAGCAGGAGAATCACTTGAACCCAAGAGGTGGAGATTGCAGTTAGCTGAGATCACGCCACTGCACTCCAGCCTGGGCGACAAGAGCAAAACTCTGTCTCAAACAAACAAACAACAACAGAAAGTGGAGGCTCAGAGAGATGGAGACACCTGCCTAAAGTCACACAGCCAGTTGGTGGCCAAGTGCAGATTTAAGACCTCTTTCCCTGAGACACCAGACTGTAAATTTTTTTCTTTTTCTTTTTTTTTGAGACGGAGTCTTGCTCTGTTGCCCAGGCTGGAGTACAATGGCGTGATCTCGGCTCACTGCAACCTCCGCCTCCTGGATTCAAGTGATTCTCCTGCCTCAACCTCTTGAGTGCCTGAGATTACAGGCACACGCCATCACGCCCAGCTAATTTTTGTATTTTTAGTAGAGACAGGGTTTCACCATGTTGGCCAGGCCAGTCTCGAACTCCTGACCTCAAGTGATCCACCTGCCTCGGCTTCCCAAAGCGCTGGGATTACAGGCATGAGCCACCATGCTGCCTGCAAGATTTTTACTATCTTTTTCTGCTGTCTTTTCTTTAGTACATGATCCACAGAGCCGAGTGACAACAGCCAGGTTAGAATCCAGCAAAGCCTGAGCTTAAAAAGTCTTTTCAAAAATTTTTTTTTTTTTCTGTAGAGACAGGGTCTTGCTGTATTGCCCGTATTGCCCAAGCTAGTCTCAAACTCCTGGCTTCAAGGAATCCTCTCACTTTTGCCTCCCAAAGTGCTGGGATTACAGATGTGAGCCACCACGCCAGCCCTTTGAGCTTTTTTTTTTTTTTTTTAAAAATCACATGCATTGTTCATATTTTTAAAAACTAAAACAATACAAAAGGAAACAGAGTGAAAAGTTAGTCTTCGTCTCACTCCTGAATTTCTGTGCACCAGTTTCTTCACTCTAAGGCGACAGGGTATCCTTGCAGAGATAGTTCACGCGTAGAAAGTTGCATGAACTTTCTAAAGTTTCTATAGCACCTGTATATTTCCAGCACCTATATATCATCTTTATTCATTACATACATGAAAAAACACTACTTGTGTTTTTGCACACGGCTTTTGAAATTTTTATTTTTAATTTATTCATTTTTGAGATAGGGTCTCACTCTGTTGCCCAGGCTGGAGTGCAGTGGCACAGTTTTGGCTCACTGCAGCCTCAACCTCCCAGGCTCAGGTGATCCTCCCACCTCTGCCTCCTGAGTAGCTGGGACTATAGGCACATGCCACTATGCCAGCTAAATTTAAAAAAAAATTTTTTTTTTCTTTTCCTTTTTTTTGAGATGGAAGGTCTCACTCTGTCACCCAGGCTGGAGTGCTCCAGCATGATCATGGCTCACTACAGCCTCAAACTCCTAGGCTCAAACAATCCTCCTACCTTGGCCTCCCAAACGCTGAGCTTATAGGCATGATCCTCTGTACTCAGCCTGCCTTTTTGGTTTTTTTTTTTTTGCTCCGTCTTGTTCTGTCGCCCAGGCTGCAGATCTCGGCTCACTGCATCTTCTGCCTCCCAGGTTCAAGAGATTCTCCTGCCTCAAGTAGCTGGGATTACGGGCGCGTGCCACAAAGCCTGGCTAATTTTTGTATTTTTAGTAGAGGTGGGGTGTCACCATTTTAACCAGGCTGGTCTTGAATTCCTGACCTCAGGTGATCTGCTCACCAAGGCCTCCCAACGTGCTGGGATTACAGGCATTAGCCACCTCGCCCGGCCTTTTTTTTTTTTTTTTTTTTTAACAATTATCTTGAAGGATCATTGACATCTCAGCACATATAGCTCTGATGTAAATTTGAAAGGTTTTATGTTATTTCTTCCTTTTGTCTTTGATAATTTACCAGTGAAGCCATCTGGACCTGGAATTTTCTTTGTGGGAAGGTTTTTAAATAATGAGTTTGATTTCTTTAATAAATATAGAGCTCTTTGAATTTTCTGTTTCATCCGTGTTAACATTCATATGTTGCGTTTTTCAAGGAAATGTCATTTGTCAAATCTGTTGATGTTAAGTTGTTCATAATATCCTCTATATTATTTTAATGATTCCAGAATTTGTAGTGATAACTTCTCATTCTTAATACTGGTAATCCCTGTTCTCTCTCTTTTCTACTCTAACAGGGAATTTTATCAATCTTATTGATCTTTTAAAAAAACCAGTATTGCTTGTTTGGTTTTTGTTTCGTTTTTCTTTTTTTGAGACAGAGTCTTCCTCTGTCACCCAGGCTGGAGTGCAATAGCGCGATCTCTGCTCACTGCAACCTCTGCCTCCCAGGTTCAAGCGTTTCTCCTGCTTCAGCCTCCTGAGTAGCTAGGATTATAGGCGCCCGCCACCACGTCCGGCTAATTTTTGTATTTTTAGTAGAGGCGGGGTTTCACCATGTTGGCCAGGCTGGTCTCGAACTCCTGACCTGAGGTGATCCGCCTGCCTCGGCCTCCCAAAGTGCTGGGATTACAGGTGTGAGCCATAGCCCCTTCCTCAATACTGGCTTCTTTAAAAAGCCCAGGCCAGTCGTCTTGTAGAATGCCTCCTATATTAGATTTGTCTGATTATATCCTTATGATGTTATTTAATGTATTCCTTTATCTTGTATTTCCTGTAAACCAGAGTTTTGATCTAGAGCACAATGTATTAGACCACCTACTGGTGACCACTGTGTTGTCTCCAGAGTGCCCGGTCCCTAACCACCATGGTACTAGGCCTGCCAGGCTCATGAATGGCTTCGACAGGATAGCAGCAGACAGGGTGAGAAGCTGGGTTCTAAGCCCCCACACACTCACCATTGGGAGACCACAAGCAGCTAGAGGTGAGGGAGATATGTATTGGGACAGGAGAGAGGCCTGAGGCAAAACAGTCTTTTGGGATTAGCTTGTGAGGGACCTGGATTATTCTTTAGGAAAGGCTGCTGTTAGCCCGGCCTGGTGGCTCACGCCTGTAATCCCAGCACATTGGGAAGCCAAGGCGGGTGGATCACCTGAGGTCGGGAGTTTGAGACCAACCTGGTCAACAGGGTGAAACCCCATCTCTACTAAAAATACAAAAATTAGCCGGGCGTGGTAGCAGGCTCCTGTAATCCCAGCTACTCGGGAGGCTGAGGCAGGAGAATCGCTTGAACCTGGGAGGCGGAGGAACCTAGTGGGCCGAGATCGCACCACTGTACTCCAGCCTGGGCGACAGAGCTAGACTCCATCTCAAAAAACAAAAAACAAAAAACAAAAAAAAAAAAAAAAAAAAAGAAAAAAAATGAACTAAGAGTGATGTGTCACTCATCCCTCTGACGCTTTCCCATGAGTGAGTGTCCCTCTCCCAGTCCTGCCCTCACTGATGGTTCCCAGGAAGGCTCCTATCCCAGCGGCACTCTCCGGTGCTCAAGAATAAAGAAAAAAACTCCTTATATACTCTGCCACCCCCAATATCAGTGTCTCACCTGGGCTGCCCACTGAGATCACCTGGGGAGCCTCTTTCTTGTCACTTTTTTTTTTTTTTTTTTTTCACTGCAAGCTCCGCCTCCCGGGTTCCCGCCATTCTCCTGCCTCAGCCTCCCCAGTAGCTGGGACTACAGACGCCCGCCACCGCGCCCGGGTAATTTTTTGTATTTTTAGTAGAGACGGGGTTTCACCGTGGTCTCGATCTCCTGACCTTGTGATCTGCCCGCCTCAGCCTCCCAAAGTGCTGGGATTACAGGCGTGAGCCACCGCGCCCAGCCTCTTGTTACTTTTTAAATGATTATGCAATA